CAGATGCATCTGAATCATCCCATGTAGCCATCAGAACTTTATTTTTATGCTCAGGCTTCCTTCTTGGCTTCTCCTTCTGAAGCTTTGGGCATTCATTCTTGTAGTGCCCAGGTTCCTTGCATTCATAGCAAACAACCTCCTTCTTTCCAGATCTTTTGTGTCCAGAGGACTCTTTACGTTGATCTGGCTTCTTGAAGTTCTTGAACTTCCTCTGTTTATGCTTCCAGAGTTTGTTGATCCTTCTGGACAACAAGGACAGTTCATCTTCTTCTTCAGAAGAAAACTCTTCAGAACTTTCTTATAATACTTGCAACGCTTTAACAGATTTGTTAGACTTTAACGCAACTGACTTACCTTTCTTTTGAGGCTCATCTTCTTCAAGTTCAATCTAATGGCTCCCCAAAGAGCTGATCAGTTCTTCCAATGTGATCTTACTCAGATCCTTTGCTAGCTTCAGAGCAGTGACCATATGTCTCCATCTGATTGGCAAGCTTCTGATGATCTTCTTTACATGATCAGTAGTGGAGTAGCCTTTCTCTAGCACTTTTAATCCAGCTGTGAGGATCTGGAATCTAGAGAACATAACTTTTATAGATTCAGATTCTTCCATTTTAAAGGCTTCATATTTCTGGATCAGCGCCAGAGCCTTGGTCTCTTTAACTTGTGAGTTCCCTTCATGAGTCATCTTCAAAGACTCAAACAAATCAAATGTTGTTTCTCTGTTGGTAATCTTCTTATACTCAGTATGAGATATAGCATTTAATAAGATTGTTCTTGCTTTGTGATGATTTCTGAACTCCTTCTTCTGAGCTTCAGTCATAGATTTTCTATCAATTTTCTTGCCATCCCCATCAGTGGGGTGAACATAACCATCAATGACTAAGTCCCAAAGATCAGCATCATATCCAAGGAAGAAGCTCTCTATTCTGTCCTTCCAATAGTCAAACTTCTCCACATCAAACATAGGGGGTTTTGTGTTGATTCTATCCCTTTCTTCATATCTGTTGCTATTGGATGTTGAAGCTTCATCCATAATATCAACCAAAAAATAAATATCAAGAGTTTTCTCAACTGGATCTTTTTTGTTCACGGTGAAGTGAGAGCACTAACAAAACCGGAGCTCTGATGTCAACTGAAGGTGAGAAAAACACTTAGAAGGGGGGGTTGAATAAGGGTTTAGAAAATATTATGGCAATAAAAACACAATGATTTTTATCCTGGTTCGTTGAACTCAACTAATCCAGTCCACCCTATCAAGAGTGATTTGCCTTTCTCCACAAGGACTTAATCCACTATAGTCAAACTGATTACAGTGTCAAACACTAAGAACAATTGTCTTAGTCTTCTCAAGAACTACTGACCACAACTTGGTCTTCTTAAGGAACTTTTACAATCAAATGTAAACTAAACAAGTGTTTAAATGCTTCTATGAAAGCTATATCACAACTGTGATTTATACACTTAAGATTAAGAGCGAATGAAACTATTCAACAAAGAAATATAATTTGTATGAGAGCTTTGAGAGAGTTTTCAATAGATTCGTCAATATTCGTCAACTATAGAAAGTTGTTGAAGGCTCGCTTATATAGACAAAGAAGTCCAAGACGTTGCAAGCTTGAAGACCGTGTACTGCAAAGTAGTTGTAGCCTTTTGTCTTCACATGACTTGACCTTTCCTAGAAGTAGAACATTCAGAGAAATCCTTTTTGCCTGAGTTCTTGTGTCTAGCATAAAAGAGGAAGGAGTCGTTTGGAATATGCCAACGGATATAACTTTGAATAATCTTCTTCAACAAGCTTCTATTTCACAGCAATCAACATCAGAGCCTTGAGTGATCAGAGTCTTGATGTTATCAAAGTTTGTTGTATCAGAGTGTTATAGCAAGTGTGCTTCAGCGTGAGTAATAGTCAGAGCAGAGTTTGGAGATCAGATCCTCAGTACTTGCAGCGAACAGTACTATCAGAGTCTTCTGAAAAACAATGCCTGAAACTCTTCATACAAAGTCTTCAGCTACGCTTCAGATGCTTTTGTAGCTTCTGCTTTAGAGTCTTCTGTAGGCAGCGTTCAGAGTCTTCTGTAGACAGCGCTCAGAGTCTTCTAACGAGATGCTTCTGACGCTCAGAGTCTTGCGTAGTTCAATGTTCAGATCATTTTTTCTTTCAGAAGAATATTAAATTTAATATCTGCAACAAAAATACTTGAACAAATTTAGAGTATATAATTTCTTAATACAAAATTTCATTAGTGTTATCATCAAAACATAGAGATATAACTAAGAACCAATCTGTGTTCTAACACTCTCACCCTTTTCACCCGTCGAATTCTTCGAAATTTGAGACTCGTTTGCACCAAACTTCTGAAAATTTGGCTTACCTCTAGCTGCAAGTTTTCGTTTTGACCTCTTATTCTTCTCATTAAAACGCGTTTGCAAAGCGATCTCCGCTTTGGCTTTGCCGACACCTCTCTCATCCATCCTTTGTTCATGCGCCTCTAACTAACTTTGCAACTCATCCTTGCTCAAAGTAGTTAGATCATTTGACTCTTCAATAGCCACAACTATATTATCGAACCGTGATGTTAACGAACGCAACACTTTCGATACAACATTCTGCTCAAGAATCGTTTCGCCACATGACTTGATTTGATTAACTAACCGGGTAATGCGCGTAATGTAATCGTTGATCGTTTCTTTGTCATCCATTTGCGTTAACTCGAATTGACGTTTGTAAGTTTGTAACCTTACCACCTTCACTTTGACGGCACCGGCATATGCTTTCTCCAAGATTTTCCATGCTTGCTTCACGGATTTACAATCGCAAACCTTCTCGAAGTTGTCGTTATCAACACAAGAGTGAATCAAGAATAGGACTTTGTAATCCTTCTTCTTTTCTTCCTTGTGTGTAGCCCTAATAGCTTCGGTAGCATCTGCCCCTAACGATGTAACTCCATTGATGACGATCTCAAGAACCTCTTGATAACCAAACAGAACTTTCATTTGTTTTGCCCATTTGTCGTAGTTCTTCAAATCAAGAATTAGGAGATTGGTGGGAATTTGATCATTAGAAACAATAGCCATTGTTGCAGCGGATTAGGATCAATAACCGAAGCTCTTGAACACAAATGCTAGAACAACATACAAAAAACAGAGATCGAAGGTAGTAACAATGGTGGAAAAGAAATTGGAGAAGAAGATGAAATTGAGAGAGAAAGAGAATTAGGGTAGAGAGTATTACTGGATGAATTAAAATTGACATTAATTGGAATTGAAAATTACAAAATGTATTTATACCCTTGAGAGAATAATCCAAAAAAAAACAAAAAATGTATTTATACCCTTGAGAGAATAATCCAAAAAAAACAAAACCAACTAAAGTGGTCATGCTGTTAAATTCAGGTATTTGCTGAAATTTGATAAGTGGTAATCGATTAGCAACAAATGCGTAATCGATTACGCCTGTTAAATTTTCAAAAATACCAGAATTTAACAGCTTTCAACAGTCACTAATTAGTAACGTGAATTTCACGTGAGAATATTTTCAAATAATATTGTGGTTTGTGACGTGAAATTCATATTACTAATTAATGAATTGAATCTCACGGTTGCTCCTCCGACATGTTTTGCCCACGTCGCAAATTTTAATTAGAGACGTGAATACTATGTAGAAAATGACAATATTTTTTGTAGTGTACTAGCTTGTATTCTTGATATGATGATTATGCTTCAGAATATTCTAGCATGTGTTCGGGGAGACATTTAGGCTATCATAAAAAAATACAGAGACCTTAAACAACTTGTCTGAAAGAATGACAAGTATGGAGCAATTCATGGCTTCAAAGGAGGTTCCAATCTTCACCACCTTTCTCAGACCTACTATCTTGAGTGACCTCTTTCACTTTTTCCATAGGTTCTACTAGCATGTGTTCATTTCCTTCTCTTGGTTATATCTCTATAAACTTGAATTCCTCTCCATAATCTTATATTGGTTCAGGTATTTCCAACTATTTTTAAGGCTGTAACATTGTCTTTAACACAAGACAAGTTAACAAACTTTCAAGTAGAAAGAATTAAAAATTCATGACTGAAAAAAAGTAAAAACAGTACACACAATTGTTTCATGTTCAAAGAGTCAATAACTGCACAAATATTTCATGTGTTAGGTACAGATCGGAATCTATAATATATATCTTCCGTATATGAGATTTTTTTAATGAATTGTGTTCAATAAATAACCATTTAAATCTATATCTTTCATCAATTTAACAATATTGAATTAAACTCTATCCTACCTAGTCTGCACTTCTCAACATGTTCTACTACTGAATGAGAATATGATATAATTTTCGTTGCATAAATCAAATATCATCTGCACACAACTGATGCACGCAACTGATGAGATTGATTAATTCGAATCAAATATCATCCGCAAGCAACGTCTATCATCCGCAAGCAACGTCTGCACACAACTGGTGAGATCGAGATCAGAATCTTTGATTAAGCTAGAAGAAACTCGAACCATTTCATCCAACAGCTAATACAGACAACTAACATACCACATTCAAAGAAAGATAAGAAACATCAAACATTGAACTCACATCAAATGAAAAATTCCAATTTGAATTGCATTGTGATGTATTTGTTCGTGACACTACAATGAAATGTCACCGTATTCCTAAAAGGCTTCTGTTTCAAGTAACCTTTTTGCAGTCAAAACCAAGTGATGAAAAAATGAAAGTAAATGGCAATCTATGGCCACTATGAATCAATGTAGACAGACAAAATTACACCTCAAAATCTGAAGCATACTAGACTAAGAAAATCCAACACCAATGCTGTTCACAGCACCAACTCTCCCGAATCGATCAATAGACAGATAAACCTTTCAAATGACGTATAGTGTAAAGAGAGCAAAATTCAATGATAAAATTGCATGGTAAGAAGCACAAATTTGTCGAAATATGAATTCTCGACAAATTTACAATACGCTGACAAATACTCACTTTCTATCTTCTCTTTCTGTGCCGCTTCTTGGGGGTCAAAAAGGCGGAGGCACGCGATTTCTGTTGGCCGAAAACACTCTTCAACTTACAAAATGATTCTTCATCATCGCTATCAATGTCATCAGCTGTATGTCTGCTATGGTATGCTCTGCGTTGCAAAAGATAGACATTGAAGTAGTAGCTAACTAGAGACGCACTGCTCTTATTAGGAAACGCGCGGAAAATATGATCCCAGAAATGTCTCGCAGATGATGGAGGGTTTGACTGTATCACTTCCGTGAATTTTTTCTCATCTTCAATGTTCCACAATTTTCGAACATCTTCACCTATCTTATCGAATTGCCATTGGTCATAAGCCGCACCTAACTCCAGCTTAACTTTAGCCTTTCTCTCAGAAACGTGAAATCTGACACATTCAATAGAACCCGACACAGCGCAGCCACATGATTCTTGTCTTCCTTTTCCTATAGGATCCCGTTCGATAAGAAAGCGAGAATTAACTGCTTCCAGCGGTGGCCAAACCTGGGTCCCAAACCACTTAGGATCACTTTCAGAAGCCATACCAGTCCACTCTGGCAGTTGAGCTTGATAACTTTCCCCCACACAGATGCATGCATCTGCCCATACCTCAAAACTCGAAGGGGTACTCACAGAATCACGCAAATGTTTCGCAACACGTTCATCAGAGGATGAATTTGATGAGCTTGGTGAAGCTGATTTTGGTTTTTCAACCAACAGTTTCTTGTCGTGTTTCAGCCTCTCCCTTAGATTGTAAGCCGTCGTAGCAGCATCATCGTACAAGCAAGGATGCATCTTCTGATTCTGCAAATTACACAAGGATTTCGTGTTAATGCAATATCACAAGGAAATTTAAAATTTTGTTTAAATAAAAATTATAAATATCAACCTTTATTGCCCAAGAACATGCAATTTAATGTAAATTGTAAACTGTCCCAAAAAGGGTCCATAAATGCATAAGTTAACCATGCTTTAAATAAAAAGGGCCCATAATAATAACAATATTACACACTTTAATAATAAAGAAACTGAATAATTCACACAAAACATTAACTAACTAAAAAAAGATATTAATAGATTCAGATATATAACATAAACTTCCCAAATACTATAACAATATCTCAACAAGCATTGCATTATATGTTAAACTGATAAAGAAGAATCACAAAATCAAATCATAATTAACAGTTTGCAATAGCTAACTGCCAAAAAGGAAGATTCTACAATATGATTGTTTCAGAAGAAAACAAATGACAAGTGACCCCACGTCAAATTTGTTTTCCCCAAGCAAACCGAATTATACGGTAACAAATTGCATGAAAACTTGGGAAAAAATGAAACAGAAGTCCAGAGTAACACATGAAAACACAGATACCTTGAGAAACGGAACAGATACAATATTAATTGCAAACAAAAACAGAATGAGAAATCTTTTACTTTTGAGTCAACTAAATTTCAAGCATGCATCAACAGCTCATGCATTTAATAAAGAAATTTAAGTTCGGCGAACTCATCTTAATAGCATTGTTTTATAAGATTACCTGCCAATTCAGCTTTTCAATGCTTCCTTGTTTCTTGTGAAACGCAGCCTCTCGAAACAACAAAACCTGCTTCCAAGCCTCCTGACTATCGTAAGAATTCCACCTCGGCTTTTCAGGCATGTAACCAATTTCAGGATCACAAGGGTTATTCGCGACACAAGTTATCCAACTCATCATTTCAGGCAAAGGCTCTCTCTTCCTCTTTAATCCATAACTTTTTCCATGACCACCATCACGGCCCTCGCCATTCAACAATCCAGACTCACCACTCTTCACCGCATTAGACGCGTCGACCTCTGTCTCAACCTCTTCCACTACTTTGTTCGCATCATCATTACCCTCACTCAACTTTCCAACGTCCGTCATATCGGATTCAACTCCACCTTTAACCTCCTCTCCAGCCACAGGATTCTCAGTCTGATACAACAACGCTTTCACCTCAGCCAACGATTCCAACAAAACACGCTCATATGATACCTTACCAGAAACAAGTTTCTCAAGACATCCCTCCAAAACACTCTTGTACTCAGTATAAACCCGTTTCACAGATGAACCAACATCCACACCCAACCCACATTCTTCCCCAACCGAATCCCACAACTCTCGATCGCAAACAACTTCGTACCCACCTTTACCCTTAACCGCAGTAAACAGCTTATACAAATCAACTTTCTGTCCGTCGTTAAGCATTGGTACAAAAAAAAACAATCAAAGCAATCTTTAGCAAAAAAATCTCCTTCAAAAAACACAACAATGAAAACCTCCAAACACCACTACCTTCAATAAGAACACTACCTTCGTAAAACAGCTACCACCCTGTCAAGAAAATCGAATTCAAACCCTAGAACAAATAACCAAGTTCAAAATAATCCATTTATTTAAACAACAAGAAAATTAAAATTATTATTAATCCCTTTTTACGAACTTTTCTGTTACAAATTAATCGATGAAAATGAGTTTACGGATGAGAAATTGGCACCGATTAAGATTCTGGGTTCAGCTCAAAATTGAACTTTGGCGGGAAAATTGAGATGGCTAAGATCTGATACTAGTTAGGGCTTTTTTTGAATGAAGCTCTGTGTCACCTTTGTGTGTGGCCAAGAAAAAAAAGTTTCATTTCATTTCACATCTGGCATTTTCTCTCTCTCTAGAATATAGATTTTAATTGCAGAGAGAGAGAGTGAAAGAGGGGTTAAAATTCAAGTTTTCAACAGAAACAGACCCTAATCTTCAAAATCTGAAATTACTTCAATGGAGTAAAAAGAAAATAAAAGAAATGAAAAGAAAATGATAAAGAGAGAAACGTACCAGTTTTTCTAGAGAGGAAAATAGATGGACCCCTTGAAATGAAATGGAATTGAAAATGAAACTTGTGTGACTTGTGCTTTTAAAACTAAATTCTTATTTTTGATTTCTTTGGTTTTATTTGATTTGGGGGAATTTAGAAGAGAATCATTTTGATAAAACTAAAACAAAATGGAGGTTTAGAAGGGTTTGTGTGTTGATGAGAGGTACAACCCCTCTTATATATTAGAGATGGTGATGGATTTATTAACTATGGTTAATAATTAACTAGATGGATGGTTAAGTTGAGGATTTTTACTCGTGTACTATTTTTTTTACATAATTAAGATATGGAAATTACACGATTTAAATACCGAAAAGGAATTTATTGGTGTTTTATTTTTTTAACCTAATAAAGAAATGAGAATTACAAATTTTAAATATGGAGAAATAACTTACGAACTGGAAATATATGAATAGGGATGTAAATGGATATTTATGGGGACGGATACTATCATATTTGTAGCCGCTCCATTGGATAAATATGATATCTATAGCCGCTCCGTTAAGCGGGTAATCCGCGGGTTTTACGATATCCGCAAATATTTATAGATATCCATGGATAATAATTTTTTATGAAAATTTTGTTTTGAAATTTTTTTAACTTCTTTTAAAGATACAAAAAGTTATTATCACATAACATCGATACAATTCACTCTTAATTTAACAATAAAATTTCATCACATCAATTTTCTTCTTATTCACCAAAACATAATTAGATCCAAACATAATATCCAGACATTTCATTTTTAACAAAAATAAGATAGTGTGATTGTGGGTTATAATGGAAGAGCGGAGGATGGAGGAATAGGAAGGGAGACACTGGTTTGATAGAGGAACGACGACACTAGTTGGTTGGACTATGAAATTGTTGAAGTGAGATATAAAATAATAAAGAGTTTAAATATGAAATGGTTAATCGAATTTGAATGAAATGTGAAAGGTTTTCTTTAATGAAAATTTAAAAAAATAAATAAATAAATAAGAAGACTAATTATTTTTTAGAAGATGAAAAGATAAGGTATAATAAATTAATAATATATAAATGATTTTTATAACTTATTAATGGATATGGATATCTGCGGGCATGAGTATCATTAAACATGTATCCATATCCATTAACAAATAGGTATTTATGTAAGCGGAAATATTCATGGATATTATATGAGATTAAAACATTAATACTTACTTGTTGAAGTCATGATTCGGAATTCCGAATGGATGAATGACCGGATCTTCCTTTGTATTTCACACTCTCGTTCACAACTTTCAATAGGGCAAGTTATGGAGCCGTCAGTTATGTTTCTGATGCTTTTTTGTGATTACAGAGGGGACCTAGCCATATAATATGATATAACCCTAGTCCCTACCCATTATGGGCCCAAGGTTAAAGCCCACACTTTTACCCACACCAATCAGGTTTCAGATACTCAGACATTAGTTAAAAATTGATCACTTAATTGATTAAAGGGCTTATATATGCACCCCCATCAGAATCACGATTAACCCGTTTTTTACAAATTAAACCATAATTGATTGTAGCCCATAAAATATTAGATAAATCTAACATTCTCCCACTTAGGCAAAATCAATTGCATGATTTTTATTTTAAAATACATTTTGAAAACGACTCTCGGGTTAATGACTAATTCCTTAAAATGCGGCCGCATTTTAAAGAAATCCATGATTCCAGGTGCAGTATCTGAATATGACTCCATCCAACAAAAGTTAAGCAATATTGAATCACGACGATTATTATGTCCTTCATTGACATAAAACCTTTCGTGGTTACAAATACTACATACTCCGTCAACTAGTCATCAGTGTGGAGTGTGGCAAGAAAATAACATGCTAATGTGATCCAACAACCATTTGCTATTTTCTTCGTCAGTCCTTAACAATTTCTCTCAAATGCATTAAACACAAAGAAATTGTATGGTTTTACAAACCATAATGCCTCAGCTCCAATATGGCGTCGACCACCGGCACAGTGGTCTTGACAACGCCGGGCTTAAAATCATAACCATGCCTTGAACTCCAAACTAGTGTCGACCATAGGCACAATGGTTTCGATGACATTGAGTCCCAAATTTAGCAATTTAAATGTAAATAAACAATGACAAATGATAATAATAATAATCATTGTAATATCAATTGCTTAAAATAGAAAATACTCGACAATCCAACATTTAAAGTGTCTAAAATAAAATATAACATGATAAAAGAAAATGACATAAAGAACAAACTCCCACTAACCAAGTACATCAAAAGAACTCACAATGCCCATGTCAAGGTCAGCAATCCCTAACGAAAACTCTAAGTCTTTCTTCTATTTTTTAAAATTAGACCCATTCAGGATCTCAATAGAAGCAGAACAATTATTCATAGAGAAGGTAATTGTTTAGACAAAATAGGAATGCATTAGAACAAATAATAAAGGCAAGATATAGCTTTAATGAACATAAGATATCACTAAGAGGCCAACATTATCACACAATCCCCTTTGGGTGGAATGCGTAAAACTCAGGTTAGAACCAAGGCCAGAACCTCAGATGAGTCGGTCAATGAGTATAAATTGGGTTCGAAAATCTATCTCCTTTGGGTAGATAAATTCTCTAAACCAAAACACCTCCAACAACTTCATCTATAAATTTCAAGAATAAGCTACTCAATGAGCATACATTGAGTTTAGAAATTTATTTCCTTTGGGTAAATAAATCCCTTAGACCAAAGCATCTCCAATAGTTATATCCTTAATCAACCACAATATTTACATACAATTGTCCACCTTTGGGAAGACAATCACAGTAATGATTTAAAACCATTCCTCAAACTACAAAGAGACTTTTACAAATTAAAACGAGCGATCTCACTTTGGTGGTAATCACACACAATAATTTATAGAATTTCTTGCATAGGAATTAAAAAAAAAATTCTCGCCAAAATAAATCATGAACCAATCATGAATTAAATCATATAACATTCCTAATAAATTTTGTCTTCAACAGTATCAATCTCAGTATTATAGAGATATTATATAATATTTCAAAATACTTGACAAAACAAATATATTACAAATTTATATAAACTAACATTTATTTAATAAAATGTCCAAGACAATACAATAAAAATTTAGAAATATATATAGTACATATTGTCTTGAAAATAATTAATCTAGTTAATTATATATAATTCAATTAGTAATATATAATTTTATATGATACTGTATTGGCGTGAAAAAATTGAACAAAAGAATTTAGAAGTGGCTATTAACTTGGAATTGTTTTATTCACGTATTTTGCATTTCAGTAACCAAAGAATCATATATATATTGTTTTAATTGATTCCATATATACTTCATAGATTTTGTAATCACAAAATATTTAGGCTCTGATACCAAATGTAACGCCTCATTCCCAGAAGGTCACCCATCCCAGAATTGCTCCAAGTCAAGCACGCTTAACTATGAAGTTCTTATGAACGAGCTACCGAAAAGAAGATTCAACCATGCACTCCCATACCTACATAGCCTCAGGATCCCTCTCATTCGGATGTGAAATCGGGTTTTTCCCTAGAAGTTGCTAGGAGTATCTCATTGTCATGCCTCTTGCACCGACAACCACTCCCTCGCCCTCAAGTGTGTACATGTAACCACCATCCTCTTTCACCTCAGGTGTTACATGCCCACTAACTTCCGCTTGATTCGTCCCCGAACCACATCGTACTGGGAGAGGTTTGGCTCTGATACCATTTGTAACGCCCCATATTCATGGATATTATATGAGATTAAAACATTAATACTTACTTGTTGAAGTCATGATTCGGAATTCCGAATGGATGAATGACCAGATCTTCCTTTGTATCTCACACTCCCGTTCACAACTTTCAATGGGGCAAGTTATGGAGTCGTCAGTTATGTTTCTATGCTTTTTGTGATTACAGAGGGGACCTAGCCATATAATAAAGCCAACACTTTTACCCACACCAATCAGGTTTCAGATACTCAGACATTAGTTAAAAATTGATCACTTAATTGATTAAAGGGCTTATATATGCACCCCATCAGAATCACGATTAACCCGTTTTTTACAAATTAAACCATAATTGATTGTAGCCCATAAAATATTAGATAAATCTAACAATTTAAATATCTATTTATTTTATCCGCGAATATCCATTAAACTATCTGTCACATATCCGTGGCGGATTTTATCCGTGGATATCCGCGGGTACGGATTTTTTTTGTCATCCCTAAATATGAATTATAGGTTTTAAATATACATGTGATAGTTACATATTTTAAATACTAGTATAGAGAAGGAAATTACATATGAGATTTACACGTT